CGCGCAGGTGGCACCCGCCGGCCCCCCGGCGGCGGCGGCGGCGGCGGCGGCGGCGGCGGCGGCGGCGGCAGGGGCCGCTGAGCCAGGCGGCGAGGGCTCGGGCGGGAGGATGGACGGCTCCGGGGAGCGCAGCCTCCCGGAACCCTGCAGCCGGGGCTCCGCGGCCGGCGACGACATCGAGATCGTCGTGAACGTGGGGGGCGTGCGACAGGTGCTGTACGGAGACCTGCTGAGCCAGTACCCCGAGACCCGGCTGGCGGAGCTCATCAACTGCTTGGCCGGGGGCTACGACACCATCTTCTCCCTGTGCGACGACTACGACCCCGGCAAGCGCGAGTTCTACTTTGACAGGGACCCGGACGCGTTCAAGTGTGTCATCGAGGTGTACTATTTCGGGGAGGTCCACATGAAGAAGGGCATCTGCCCCATCTGCTTCAAGAGCGAGATGGACTTCTGGAAGGTGGACCTCAAGTTCCTGGACGACTGCTGCAAGAGCCACCTCAGCGAGAAGCGTGAGGAGCTGGAGGAGATCGCGCGCCGCGTGCAGCTCATCCTGGACGACCTGGGCGTGGACGCGGCCGAGGGCCGCTGGCGCCGCTGCCAGAAGTGCGTCTGGAAGTTCCTGGAGAAGCCCGAGTCGTCGTGCCCGGCGCGCGTGGTGGCTGTGCTGTCCTTCCTGCTCATCCTCATCTCGTCCGTGGTCATGTGCATGGGCACCATCCCCGAGCTGCAGGTGCTGGACGCCGAGGGCAACCGCGTGGAGCACCCGACGCTGGAGAACGTGGAGACGGCGTGCATCGGCTGGTTCACGCTGGAGTACCTGCTGCGCCTCTTTGCGTCGCCCAACAAGCTGCACTTCGCCCTGTCCTTCATGAACATCGTGGACGTGCTGGCCATCCTGCCCTTCTACGTGAGCCTCACGCTCACGCACCTGGGCGCGCGCATGATGGAGCTGACCAACGTGCAGCAGGCGGTGCAGGCCCTGCGGATCATGCGCATCGCCCGCATCTTCAAGCTGGCGCGCCACTCCTCGGGCCTGCAGACGCTCACCTACGCCCTCAAGCGCAGCTTCAAGGAGCTGGGGCTGCTGCTCATGTACCTGGCGGTGGGCATCTTCGTCTTCTCCGCCCTGGGCTACACCATGGAGCAGAGCCACCCCGAAACCCTGTTCAAGAGCATCCCCCAGTCCTTCTGGTGGGCCATCATCACCATGACCACCGTGGGCTACGGAGACATCTACCCCAAGACCACGCTGGGCAAGCTCAACGCCGCCATCAGCTTCCTGTGCGGAGTCATCGCCATCGCCCTGCCCATCCACCCCATCATCAACAACTTCGTCAGGTACTACAACAAGCAGCGTGTCCTGGAGACGGCGGCCAAGCACGAGCTGGAGTTAATGGAGCTCAACTCCAGTAGTGCCGGCGGCGAGGGCAAGGTGGGAGGCTCCCGGGGCGACCTGGACATCCTCCCTCCAGAACCCGCCGCAAAGGACGCGGCCAGCTGGAGCAGCCGGCTGAAGCTCTCGCACAGCGACACCTTTATCCCCCTCCTGACCGAGGAGAAACACCATAGGACCCGGCTCCAGAGTTGCAAGTGAAGTCAGGGTGCCCTGGGCAGAGGACGGATAGACGGGTGTGGCAGGCGTGTCATCGAGGGCATGGAAGGGCTGTCCTGTGTTCCCCCACCCCAGCCCTTCCTAGACAGACTCTGAAGGCCCTCTCAGGCACCTCTCACAAGGCTGGGTAAGACTCTTTTGTGTTGCCTGCTGTCCAGGAGCCCGGGAATGGGGGCATCGGGAGCTGCAGGGCCGTGTGGGGCGAGTGGAGGATGAGACTGGCTGGCGCGGGAGCCCTCGCCCGCTTCTGTATCTCCCTCAATAAAGCCTCCTGCTCTCTGCACCCTCCCGTGTTGTAGGTTCTGTCACAGGCTGACTGTCACCTCCAAGAGTGGCTCAGGCACACCCCAGTGCCAGGCCAGGAGGTAGGTGTGCAGCCCTAGGGGCGGGGGAGCTATTTTTGGTTGAGAGCTAATTAAAGAAGGGCTCATAGTCAGGGTCCGGTGCCAAGGAGCCTTGCCACATTCCAGGAGGCTCTGCATGGCCACTCTTGCCTTCTGTTTCCTTCTGGGGAAAAGCTTCTTCCTGTGCACACCCAGGATGGGGGGAGTTCACCGAGCACACCAAACATCCGGGTCACCTTTTAGTTGTCACTTGCATGGAATCTTTTTCATGACTTCTTTCTAATCATTTCAGCAACCCTGCTAGATAGATATCCCCATTTTGCAGGTGAAGAAACTGAGGTCTAAGGTCACACAGAGCAGGGATTCACTCTCAAGTCTCATGACCTCAAAGCCCATGCGTTCTCTCTGAAACCAGGTGGTCTTGGGACAGAGGCATCTGCTTGGGCTCACATGGGGATCGGGAGGGGTTCTGACCTTCCTCAGTGTGGGAATGTCTGTCATCCAGCCCATCCTTCCTTCTAGCCCTGATACCTTTGACGTATTTGCTGAATGGACAAACCTGAGCATGTCCCCAGTGGCAGAGTCTGGCAGACCCGAGTTTGAAGCCCAGGCAATGAGGAGGGGGTCTGAGATGACTTTGAGCTCAAGCACATTTCTCCAGCACCTCATTCCCACCACTTCCTTACTAGCTGTGTGACCTTAGGCTTGTTGATTAACCTCTCTGACCCTCATTCTGACCTTTTGTTAAATGGAGATATAATAAATACCTCAGAGAATCATGGTTCTTAGCATGGCAGCTGGCACTTAGTAAGTGCTCAATAAATGGTAACTATTTATTGCTGGGAGGGAGGTGAATTGCACAGTTGCCCACTCTGACCTCTACAGACTTGGGCTGGGCATGCAAATGGAGAAAGGGTTGGGGCAGGGCACTGTCACACTGTTCTTAGTCAAAGGTGAGGAGTTGTCTCCGGCAGGCCCCTCTCTCTGGCTTTCCACCTTGCCTGAACTCCAGAGCTCTGTTCTCTCTTCCTGGCTGAGGCAGCTGGTGCAGAGGGAAGAGCCATGTGGCAGCGGGGAGGGCTGTGGGGGGGGACTAGACAGGGTGGTGGGAGGTGGTGGCCCCCAGTCTGCCACCATCTGGGCCAGGCCAGTCTTTCCCCTTCTCTGGCCGGGTTTGCCCATATGTGTTATGGGGGATGGTTTCTCGGGGC